TAAAATTAACTAAACCCCTTCTGCTAACACAATAGCTTTTGTTGTCACATATGGTCAAGTTCCAAGATCTGTAACTATTTTTCATAAAAGATTTTTCTACTGCCCAAGTTAATACATTACGCTACAGTAGCTCTGAATGGTATTGCTTATTTTCTTCAAAGCAACGGCCAGTTGTTTCTTCGGAGACCTTAGATCCTTTTGAGCAAAAAAGTTATAATTCAACGAGACTGAACTGCGACAATGGATCTTGTTTTAGCACACCAAAAAATGCAATCCCTAGTACACGTTTAGTTGGGGATGAGGGGGAATCAGATCGGGTCAGAGAGACACTCGGTGTTCCAGCCACACAGTTTGTGAGAGGGAAGCTGGATGGGTGGGAGGGGGGAGGATTATGGCTGCACTCCTGATGAAATTTGCCCCCGAATTAATTCCATGAGCCCATTTCTGCAGGGATTCCGGGTAGTTGGAGGGACAAATCTGCTTTCCTGGGTTGAAATGTATCATTAACTGCGAGAAGCCCTCTAAACACGCCCACGGCTCCCAACTTTTCTCTAGGGAAAGGCAAGGCAAGGCTGCAGCACAGCAGGGTCAGGAAAGGGAAACTTGTCTTGGAGCCTAAACTTAATTCATGGACTTGTTTGACTCAGTCAACGTGCTGTGTGAAGAACGATTTACTCCACTTTACTGTCACGACTGATGTCAAGGATTGGGAAAGCACACCTAAAAGAGTCTGCTTGTGGGACTCCGCACCAGACCAAAGAGGGATGAGATCAATGCAGTGTCCCCTCTGCAGGAGGAATCGCTGCTGCAGAATTTAAACAGCTTGTAAGAGACTATGGGAGGGATTTTATGAACTCTCTGTTTAAGTAATACTGCTCTGAAAGCACTAGCAAGACTTATTTGCCCCCCCAAGATTCAGTGCAATAATTTGGATAAAAGGTGTCACTTAAATGCGCGCCTGCATGCCCTCTTGGTGCAAATCGCTCAGGGGGCATGTGTATAAATAGCACAGGGAGATGCTAGAGTGAAATTTAGGAAACTGGAACTCAGGCGGTGCACTAAAGCTAGCTACCTCTTTTGTTAGATCGCGGGGATCGTGCTAGTAAAGGCTAAATATGCTACTGGAGTTTGCTTGCAACACCTTCTCAGTATTTCTACGTCAAAGTTTCTCACAGTGGCTTTTAGATATACGTTTAAAGTCTGGGGGACGGGAATTATTTTCAGCTTCCTATAGAGGCAAAGTATTTTACAAAATATTAGCTGAGGGGTTAGAAGGAATAGTTCAGATCATTAGGGTTATGACAGTCTCCTATTTTCTTATCAAATGCACTCCCAAAGATGCCCAATTCTGATCGAAGTAGCATTAACATCCAAGCTCTGATTTTTTTGAGGTTTATTAATGTTATAACTGTAAAAGTCCTTTGGAGAATTTACAGACAAAACATCTGGTTCGTTAAAGCAAAGCTACTGAACTAAGAAAAACAAACTTGGCTGCTGTGTAAATTCAGATACCAAAACAATTTACATTCAAGCAAAGATTTTAACTCGAAGGAAAACTTTTATTCATGTGTATTCAGGAGGTTTGGGAATTCACAGGCATTTTTAAAGATTTTGTGTTCTAATAAAGTTGTGTAGATTTTACAAAATTTCTTTAATCTCGTCTCAGATTTATTATTGCAGCTAGAATTATTACTACCAATGCTTTGCTTTTACAGAAATGGAGTATTGTTTTTGGTGGTGGAATTTTTTAAAATCAAACTTGTCAGAGACATTTTAATCTATTATAATGCTGATGTGTATGTTTCTCCTTTGTTCTTAGCCAGTAGAAAATAAGGTACTTTCTGCACATTTTTTACATTTCGATAATGCATCACAAAGCTTTTAAAATATATGTTCATTCTCTCTTGAAAAACAGAAAACGATGACATATGACAATTGCATGTATTATGTTGTTTGTTTCAAACGAGCTATGAGAACTTTCAAAGTTAACAGGCAGTTTAATGCGGCTACTGCAAATGGATCTTTCAGAATATGTGCTTCCAATGTAAATAAGTGCATTAACCCAGATCTGCAAGAGATAGCTAGATCTTGTTCAGATAGCCCATTCCTTCTTTGGGGGCTTCTATAAGATAGCAGTAATTAGTCAAAGATGAGTACTTATGCTGCTCTTCCACAACAAACTTATTTTCTTCTATCTTCTTTATTTCTTCAAGGTACTTTAGCAAAATGTTTCTCTCTCACTCACCCTCCAGAGATAACAGTGCCTTGGTTCTTTTGCATGATAAGAGCTAGTTCCTGAGATTCCCTATTTATGGTGTTTTCTGTTTCATTAACTCCGTTCACATATTGGTTTATCACTACTTCTAGCCTTTCAAGAGGCCCAAACATTAATGTGGAACTCTTCTTAGATGCTTTAATTCACTGCTAATGACATTCAACTTGTGAAGACCAGGTCAGTTAGGGTTAGTTCTTTTGCCTTCACTGAAGAGAATGAAGACGCCAAAATTAACCAGATATTAGCAAGTTGAAAGTTATTTGGACTGAATGGAAAGTAGCCAAAGAGCAAGCAGGTCACACATCGTGTGTGAACCTCCTGAAAAGCAATCAACCAATAATAAAAATCAATCTCTGAAAGGAGCTACACCTATACTTAACCACACACCTCTACATTCCTTACTTATAATGAATGAGAGGCTAAACAGCAGTACTTTCCTTAAAAAAGAAAAAGGTATAAGGAAATAGAAAATAACTCATTACTTTGTAAAAGATATTTTTCTTCATCAGTTTAATACACTTTAATATTGATCTTTATTTATTGATAACCTCCTTAATAGTTAATTTCAGTGGAGTCTTTGTCGGTTCAGTGTGGTACCTGCTTTTCTTTTCTTTTCTTTTCTTTTTTTTATGTTGGTTTTAACAGGTTGACTTCTTAGTAAATTTGTTACACTATGCTGCAGGAAAATGAAATGAATGGTGAAAATATACAGCCAAAGAAGGCCATCAAACTGTGGACACTGTTGAACTATAAAACATTCTTAATAGATGTGAAATTCAGAAGGGATAGCTGTCTGATTATGGAACTTTTCTTATAAATAATGTGTCTTGTTTTAAAACTATCGGTAAAAGCAAACTTAGGGCTGAGTCTTATGTGCTGAGTCTTTGTGGTTATAGCCTGTACAGACATCGATTTTATGCATTATGTTTGTAAATGTTACACTTAATAAAAGTACGGGTTCTGATCTTCTATAATAGAGTGTGACCCCAAATGAAGCTGATGCACTTTACAGAATCTGCATTTTAGTCTGCAATTTGTCTGATGGAGAGTTCAATAGATTTTTTTTCTTCCTTTAAAAAAAATCCAAACAGTTAACACATCAAATTGTTCTACAACTTGCTGGTTGTTTGGGCACTTTATACTATACATACATATTATATATGGGGACAGAGAGAGAGAGTGTGTGTTACTATTTCTAATTCAACTGGGAAAAGCCCACCAATTACTGTTTACAGAAAGTTTAGCTTCTCACATTAAAAAGGGCTGATCTCAAAACAGTGCATTATTACTAGATTACTACCTCTCATAAATTTTTGTTGACCCTTCTAAAACCAAGATGAATGTTTTAATGTGTAGTTATGGTTTTCTTACAAATGTCTCCCTTAGTGATATCGTTAAACTGCTGTTGTTGCAATCTGCTGGCATCTCCCAAGCATTTATCTATGTATACATGAATGAAACTGCTCTTTGATATCTACTTGCCACAAAATTAATAAAGGCATGCCTGTGTCTATATATATATATAAACTGCAACAGGAAAAATATCAGCACATACATGAACCTAGAGGAAGTCTTTATAGTTGAAGAAAGTAAGGGTAACTGCGAACTTGCAGAACCGCAATGCATAAAAACACCTTTTAACTCTTTCCCCTTGTATAAACCTTCTTGCATCCTTGATCCAGCGTCCAGTGTCCTATGCCATCATGCACGGTGTAGTGAAAGCAGTAAGGTTATATTGGAGCATGCATGCGGTGAAAGATGAGCAGACTTGGGGGAAAAAACTCCTTGGAATTGCAGAAAATAATGATTGGCTGGTATAGAACTTTGCTTAGGAAGCTCTGGAGCTAACTAATAGAAAATCGACATATTTTCTGGCTTGAAATAAGTATCTGCTCTCTCACATCTAGAAATAGTATGTAAATGATTGAAATAATTGTACACATCCTTACTACTTGTATTTTACTGTACTTTTCTAGCATATTTTAATCCATACCTTAAGTAGTTCTCATCTTGATTTTTGTTTTAATCAATAATAAAGTCAGAGTTTTATGTTCCCCTTTAATTCAGTAGTGACTGTGAAAGTTTGTCTTAGCATCTCATGTTCCAAAACTAAGTGAAATACTCCATGTTGTACAGTGTCTGTTGCAGAACTTCATCCGCCTTGGCTAGCAGTCTTTTAAAACTGCAGTTTATACATTACTCAATATCTGTGTTTTATTTGATACAGATTTAGCGGTTTCCCCTGAAGAAATAGAGACTGCATCTGGTCTGAGTGCTTAACACGCTGATCCTGTCCATTCCTCCAGTCTCTCTCCACTGCCTTTGGCAATTATGTATCCTTTAGGATTACCTAAATTATTTAGGTTTTCTATTTCCCAGTTTGTATGTAAAGGGGGAGGAGGGGAAAAGGAAGAATGAGTTATTAATTAAAGCCTAGTCCGTTATGTTTTCCGAGCCTGTCTAACATTTGTAAATACTTATGCTGCGGCTGATCCCCTCCTTCCTGGTTAAGTTGTTTAGTATGTTAGTTATTTGTATTGAATCACAGTCTATGTTATGTCTGATGTGTTGTCGTTGCAATGTGCAGTCAGTGTGACACTGATGGATGCGCCAATGGTTAGACGGACAGATGTTAGGGCGGATCTAACGGCATGCAATGCCATAGCAGCAAGGGAGGGGGGGGGCGAGCGAGTGAGAGAGACTGGGCTAAAAACATCCCGATTCAGTGAAAGTCGCTTATTTCTGGTGCAAACAACGCAGCCACACACACACACACACACACACACATGATTTTTGGAAGGGGGGGCGGGTAACGTTTCAGTGTAGTCTCTTAAGCAGATCTGATCGTTGCTTCTGTGGTCAGATACTATAACTGTGAGAAGAAACCAGCAAATATCAATGAAATGGACCTGAGCGAATTTGGCAGCACAAGCGGCATTTGACAACTCACCATTTTCTTGTTTGCAAGAAATGTTTCGTTTTTCCCCAACAGTAGCAATTTCCCGGGGACTTTAGGCGATTGCGATATTTTTTTCATCCTAAAGATCGGCTTTTAAAAAAAAATTATAATAATAATAAAAAACCCCCGCCGCCCCCCAAAAAACTTCTCCACCCTTTCATGTAAAGTATTTGAATTTCCTGCAACTTGAAAAGAGAAGCAAGAGCAAAGGAACGTCAAGTCGGCTTTACAAGATGAGAAGAGGCAACAACATCTGCACTTAGTAAGGTATTTGGAATTATCCCAGATCTTGAAGAATGGGGGCGAGTGGAGATTTTCTGATCTTACCGTAAAAGTGAGATCATCCTTTCCCCCCCTCCCTGTGGAAAAAAAAGAGAGAGAGAGAGGAGGAGGAAAATTATTTGCTACTGGTGTTTGCTTCACTTCTCTTAAGTAAAGAAGGCATCTTGGGACTAAGACGATTGTCTGTGATTTGCTGTAGCTGTCATTAAATATCTATCAGCCACACAAAGAAAGGAGGGGGGAGTGAAATTGGCAGCCGCGAAGGTGTTTGGCAATCGCTTCTGATCCATGTTCGTAAAGCACTTGAAACACCGTTAGAGTCCATCCCCTCTTTTCTGATGTACATTATTGCAACCCAGGAATACACAATCAAACTCACACCGCATCGATTCGCCAGCGCTCGCTAAACCCAGGATTTCACCAATGAACTTGGACCTCCCCCACCCCCCAAAAAAGTAATCTTCAAAGCAGAGTTTGTGAGTGAGTGTATGTGGCGGGAGGGGGGGGGATTTTTGCAAGCAAGTGCTGCCCAGTCTCCCCAGCGAAGGCGTCTCGGGGCACTGCAAAGATTGAAAGAATAGAAACCTAGGCAGCATTACCACCTCCCCGAGCCTCCAGCCGGAGCTACTTCGCGAGACGTGCACAGACAGACGGAGAGGTGCAAAGTGGAGTTGCTCGCTGCTTGGGCTCCAGCAAGGTGTGCGCTGTGCAAGCCGGGGCGCTGGAGGTGCGTTTGCTGCGGCAGCAGCAGCCGGCCAGCTCCGCAGACCCGGGGCACGCTGGTAAGTTGGGAAGGAGGGAGGGGACGAAGAGGGAGGAAGGAAGGAGTGGGTGGTTGTTGCTGTGTTGTATTTTTTAAATGCACCGGGGAGGGAGGATCAAACAATACTCCAGGCTGCCCGAAAGGGGGTGGGGAGTTTGTTTAAAAAGCAATGCAAAAAGATCCCCAAAGCACCACTACGCCCTGAGAGGTCCGGTGTCCTCCCCCCCCCCCCCCCCGGGGGCCTGCTCAGTGTCACTGCCGGGTAGCTGGGCTGCTCCTGCCGGAGCCACGCCGGGCTGGCTGGCTCCTCTCTCGCCCCATGACTGATTTGCTGTCACCGTGCAGGGAGCGGACCTGCCCTGACATATCAGGCCTTTATGGAGAGAGGGTTCCGGAGCTTAGGTGGGTGTAGCTGGGGGAAGGGGCAATTGCACTGGGGCCCCCAGCTCGGGGCTCCCCGACAGCCTCCGTAACTGGGCTGACATGGGAGCCGTGGGGTCCCAGCGAACACGATGTACCGGGGCCCCACATTTCTCTCGGCTGGCCTGGGGGTGGCACGGCTGGGGGGGGGGGGCTGAGATGTGGGCTCACCGGGCAGAGACGAGTGGCGTCTTCCTGGGCCGGGGTGGGCAGCTGTGGGGGCGTCCCTTGCCCTGGCAGCGGGGGCAGGAGATGGGTGCCCCTGGCTGCAAGGGGCAGCTATGGCAGGCAAGGGAGGGAGCCGGCTCCTCGCGGGGGAGGAGAAGTGAGTGCCTCGGGGAGGGGTGGGGGAGTCCCTTGGTTACACGCTGGGCTGGAGTGAGTCCCCTGGCTGTGGTGGGGGACCCCCGGAAGGTGGGAGGGGGGGTCCCTGGCTAGAGGCAGCGTGGATCCCCTTGACGATGGCTGGCAAAGTTGGGAGGTGTCCAGCATGTGGGCACAAGGAGGGTTCCCCCCCCCGGCTGTCGGGGAGGGGGAGGGGATTCGGGGTCCCCCCCCCCGCAGCCCGTCCCTCTGGCGGCGCCTGCGGCGCGCCGCGCAAAGAGTTAAGGGGCGGGGCGGGGGGAGCGCGGTGC